GAGTGACAAAGGATGCTGTCAAATACCTAGACGATGGAGGTCTCACCACGCGCTTTCCACTTATAACGCGGGTGTGGTTAGTAGCGATACCCATTTTCAATTTGAGAGATATTGTACCAAGTTCATGACGCCGTAGCCTTTTATTTTTAAAATTATACGGTCAGGTTTTAAATTAACTTTGAGTTTCGTTACACGAAATTTTGCGTAAGATCTATTATTTCTTGAAGTTACGAAAACAATAACTCGATCGTGACCACATGCCAAGTCAACTTTGTAGACTAGGTTTTGCTAATTAGCATTTTATTAAAACTTGAAACTCTTCAAGATCTTTCAAAGTGTTTGCCGATATTCTTATTTTAAAAGTTGTGATCCAGCAATTATGTTATTAAGGACTGATTCCAATGACTTTTTCAATTCGTTGGAAAATAAATCGTCTTGGGACAACCCAAAAAGGTTGGAGGATTTTATAATTCTGGGTGATAGCGATACGTTTTAACAACTGTAAAAAAACAAGATAAGTGGGAAAAATTCGGAAAGAGATCGTAATTTTTATTCAAAATAGATAAGATCGCGCAGATCAGAGTTGTATGAGATTTGTTCAACTGTACTCGAAGGATTCCTAGATCGTACTTTTTGAACGAACACAGTTTTTTGGTCTCACGCCCACTTAAGAATCACTAATTCAAAGTTTTTTAATTTTGTACTAATTTCTACCTCAGTAAGACTTTTTTAACGACATGTTAGTATAAGTATTACTATTGTAATTTGTTTGTTTTTTTTTTGGTGAGACAACCGCATACTATTTTGAAAGAAAGGCTATGGCCATGAATACTTACCCGAGCTTAAAATGATCCGCCAATTCATATAAACTTAAATATTTATTTTTCATGACTTAGTACTTTACTCTATACTGTTGAAGAATATTTTCCTGTCCTCACGATACATGACGGTCCTTTCTTTTTTTTTTTTTTCGTTCCAAAATACTTTGATTATTTTGTAAAACTCTGCATCTCTTTTTTGTATCAAAATACGTTGCTCTACTTCTCTAGGCGCAATATAATTATCTTATGTTAGTCTCTCTTAACGATGTATGTACAATATACAAAATTTTAATTTTATAACCCATCTATGATAATTTCACTAAATGTTTTCTGATTTATATTTTTTTCTTGTCCTTAATTTTTAGTTCCGATTTGACCAAATATAAAAAAAAAGAAAAAAAAA